AAGTCCAAGATATTTTAAAAGAAGACATTTAGGAATCTAAGTGTTGACTTGTTGTGTGATAGTTTCCAGATATAGTTACACATGTGAACATTGGAATAGAAATTAGAGTCACAGGCTAAAACTTGTCTTTAATTAAAATATTTTGTCAGTGTTAAATTACCCAATTTACCCAATTTAATATTTCAGGAATGCATAAGGATTCATTCACTTTGCCTTTTCCTGTGGGAAACTTTCAAGTTTATCCATAGCTTTGTTCTAATTACTTCTCTGGTCATGAAAATAATGACTTCTCTTTGTGTTTCTGTATTTTCATTTGCAAGGTGACTCAAGGTGGCACTAGACGCTCACCAAACTGCCTTCCATAACGTACATAAAACTACCCAAACCAGTATTTATTTAGAAGATTAGGATTATTAGAAGATTAAGAATTGACACATAAAGCTCAATAGAGAGGTTTTACTTAAATATATGGTATACAATTAAGTGAGAAAAAAGAGAAAATTTTACCTTGTGATCAAATAGAGAATGGGAAGATAGTGGTTCAAGAGTTCTTTTTAGTAAAAAGTGATTCCACCAGCAAGCCCATCACAGAATAACAACTGTTCTCCTCAACCCTTGCTGTGTCATTGACACTATTTCTTCCAAGAGATAGGTCTTATGTCCTCTTTAAAAAAAGGTTTATTTTTATTTATAAGATGTATGTGTACCTCTCTCTTTCTCTCTCTCTTTTTTGCGTGTGTGTGGGGGGATGCATTGCTTGTGGGTGTCCATGAGGGCCAGTGGAAATGTTAGATACCCTAGAGAAAGAGTAACAGGTGACATTGAGCCACCTGATATACTCCTGGAAACTGAACTTGAGCCCTTTAGAAGAGCAGTCATTGCTTGGAACCTCTGATTTAGTCACTTCCCCAATTCTGAGTTTATATTCCAAAAAGTTGAAAAATTGGAAGAAAATGCTGACATGTCATCTTGGAGAAGCAAATCTTAGAACTGTAATAGATTAAACCTAAGTTACAGGAAAAACATTGAAATGCAAAGTCCTTACTCTATCCTTAATTTGTCATGCAGTTATATAGCTAAGATTTCGAACACAGTATCTACCCACATCCCAATTTATCTTCCAACTCATTAAAGTCTACTGGTTACTAAAAAGACGGTGAGCATGAAGTGGTATTCTTTTGGGCAAAGTGGGAAATGTGGTCACCACATTGGCTATGTGCCTCTGCTCTTTAAAATTTTAATTTATTTTAGAGTAAATTCAATTGTGTCTTGAAAATTCTTTACCTTTGGACTTTAATAAAATTTTTATTATTAATTAGTCATGTTATAGGGTATGTCCTTCTGTATATATTTCTCTTATTGGTTGAAGACTAAAACACTGTTTGGCCAATAGAGGCAGGAAGATAGTAAGGACTAGAAGATGAGGAGAATTCTGGGAAAGATAGGTAGAGAGAGAGAGAGACTGTGAGGATGCCATGTAGCCAAAAAAGGAGTAACTGGTCCAGGCACTCTAAGGTAATCCAAGCCCATGTGGAAATACACAGATTTATAGAAATGGGTTAATAATTAAGACAGAGCTAGCCCATAAGAAGTCCTAGTCATCAGCCAACAGTTTATGATTAATATAGCATCAGTGTGCTTATTTGGGGCTGAAGAGACAGTGGGACCTGGTGGGACAAGAAACCTCCATCAACAGTCATGTGACTTCAAGCTATATATTTGAAAATTCACTGTAGTTTTTTGATTCTGAGGATCATTAAAGTGTGTACAAGCACCCTAGATCATTATGACTTCTCAGGAAATAAAGGAGCTTAACCCTAACTAGAACGAGACTGATGATCTTCATTTCCCAACCTCTGAAAGATAATTGAAAGAGTGTAAATAAGACCCGTGTGTTTTCTCCATCCCTTTTTCTTTCAGTCATATGCAGTATCAATATTGGTATTGAAGATATTTCAATATATTTTCTAATATTTTAGGCACTGTCTCAAATTTAATAAGGTCTTTTTGTACATAGTGGTTTTGAAGACTGGAAAACTCTGGTACATGTTCAGTAGGGTCTTAGTTTTTTGTCTTGTTGAAATGATAAAATATCAACAAATATTCTGACAGAAGCCACTTAAACCTTTATTCTGGCTTCTAGTTCAAGGGTACAGCCCATTATGGAGTGCAGTCAAGGGGCAAGGAGCCTGAAGAAGCTTGTGTTATGTCCAACAGGGATTAATGGATACATACCAATATTCAGCTTTTTTTCATCACTTGCCACTGACCAGAACCCCCTGCCCATGGGATGGTCCTACACACAATTAAAATGTGTCTTTATCTTCAAGATAATTCCCTACAGGCGTGCAAAGATGCCCATCACCCCAGGTGATTCTAGATCCTGTCAAGTTAACAGTTAACACTAACCATCACAACCTAATATTTTTGTTGAATAAATTAATTTATTAGGTTAATATATGGATGATAATTTTACTAACTCATGATGAAAGTCTGATTCTCCACAGGTCACCATTTGAGGTGGGGTTTTCCTTGTTCCTTGTTTCTTTTCTATGTAGAATTTTATCTACCAAAGGAAAATCCTTCCCACTTACAAGGTTGAAAAAGAGAGTAACTCACAAACATTCCCTTTGCAAGTGAAGGCAGCATCACATGCTAATGACTGCTTCCTAAGCACAAGTGTGTGTCTGTGCCTGGTATGACTCTACTGCCTATAACTCTAGAATTCACTTAGGTAGACGTTTGTGCAAATTCACCCTTCCATTGTAGGTGACATTTGCCCCCTCTCCTCAGGAAAATCTCAAATCAAAACAAAACCCCAAACTTACTCTTCTTTAAACAGATGACTTATATGTTAGAACGGAAACCATAAACACAAAGGTGCTTAAAGCATCCCTCTTGGTTTGTTGAAAGCAAAGATCCTCGACTTAGCACTTTCTCTTTGTAGTTTGTGGTTGGAGTCTGTGTGCTTAGTGCTTCGGACACCAGTCACATCTGCATGCTGAAGCTCCAAGAATAGATTTGTTGCGGAGCATGACATTTATGAGCTTTGGCAGGCGCTAGACTCTTAAGTCATGTTCAATTTTGAAACCTGAATGGAAAAATCTTCTCTGAGGGAAGCCAGTCACAACAGCATCCTGAGCCTAGTCTTTTATGAGAGGACCGAAGAGCCAGGGAAGCACAGAGTCCTGGAGGGCTCCAAAGATTTGCGTGTGCTGTCTTGCATGCCCAGGGAGAGGTACAGCAGACAGTCTGACATGTGGCAAAATACCTCTTCAAACCCAGACTCTGCTTTGCTTAGCTTACTATAGAGCAGTCTCATGAATATTCAAAATAGCTCCAATTTTACTCCCCCCCCCCCTTTTTCAGGAAATTGTGGTGATATTTTGCTTGTGATCTAACAAATAAAGCTTGATTAACAATGAAAGGGTGAAGCTAGCCACTATTTAACCATAGAGGCCAGGCAGTGGTGGCACACACCTTTGATCCCAGCACTAGGAAGGTGGAGACAGGAGTGATATGGCTGGGTAGAGAGAGGAATGTAAGGTGGGCAGAGATAGAGCTCAACCCCTTCTGTCTGAGGATTCAGTAGAGGTAGGAAATCTCTCTAGTGGCTGACTCCTTTACTTCTCTTTCAACATTTACCCTGATATCTGACTCCCGGTCTTCATTATTAAGACCAATTAGATCTGTGCTTCAGGTAATCAATGTGTTCCTTTGTAAGTCCTTTATAGTTTGAAGGAGGTCCTTTCTCAGTCAGGTCTCATTGCAGCTGCCAATTCTCTTTGCAGTCGGGTTAAGGTGTTCTCCCTAGGGTTCTGGGGTGGAGCCAAGGCCTCCTTTGGCTTCCTTGTCAGTGTGCTGACCACTGGGCAGCACTGCTCTGCTGGCTGTGGCTGAATGAAAACGGCCACATGTCGCTGGTTGTGGCTTCTGGGCCAATGAATCTTGTGCAGAAGCAAGAATGTGAGAAAATCTTAACGAATGTCTTCCTTGTAAGGACGGACACCTTTTTTGTTTTTTTTAATCCACATGTTCTAATATGTGTTACAGAGTCAGAGAGGAGCTTTTAGTTTCTCCAAAGACAATTGCTTTTTGAGTTCAGGACAAGAATGGGTTCTAGGCGCCCTCGTCTCAACGGTAACAGAAATGCTGTAATTCCTGCTGTAGTGCTTGGTGCTGGCTAATCTGTCTCCTCTTGCCGGCCTTCCTTCACTGTACAATGCTGTGCTCTTCCGGGATTTGTTTGCCTTTCTATATCATGTCACTCAGGTTGGAGTTTTCTATTCAATATGGCAGATTTCCCCAAGTCCACATATTAGGAACAAGAGGTCAGACACTTTATATGAAAACTGGCATCCTAGGAGTGTGTGACTGTGGAAACTTCCTGTCATGCTTGTCAGGAAGAATGGTGGCTACATGAAGTCTCTTCAGAGAGTACAACCCAGGGGCCACTCAGGGCTTCTAGGTGACCCCCTTCCTAGTAAACTAGAAAGTGCTTCTGTCTGGAGGGGAGTGAGTAGAACCATTTCAACAAAGGGTACTATGCTAAGTCTAAAGCATGTTATAATGTCTCAAGAAAAATAAAGGTTAATTTAAGCCACATCTTTCTTTGAACTGGAAACTTATGTTTTCCTGAGTAGCTTGAAAATGGAAAAAGGTCTGTGATCTGGGAGAGTTTTGATAGAGGATGTATAAGCGGAGAACATTGATTCTGGATTTTTGCAACCAAATGTGCAATCCAGTGCCTTGTCCTTCTGTGGGGATTAGAGATGAAGGCACAGGGAAGTGAGATTTCCAGGTATGAGTTCTACTGTTTTATTAGTGAGCAATATGTAAGTCAATTTTCCACAAGATCTTGGGGGGAAGTTTAACTGTTGATCTACTATAATTCCCCACAACCAAAATCAATGAGTGGCAAGACATTTTCACAAATTATGAGAGTACAGTCATGTTTGGATTGGTTGTCATTAAAAAAATGTGTGTGTTTTTCCCCGCAGCCTCCTCCTCAGATATATGACAAACAGCTGGATGAAAGGGAGCACACCATTGAAGAGTGGAAAGGTGACTGTGCTGTGTTCTTATGTACACTTTGATTTCTTGGAATCAGGCTATAAAAAACTGTCCTGTTGTGCCATATAGTCTATACAAAGAAAGTATCTGCAGATTCCTCCTGTACAACACTTCACTAAAAAGTGAAGTTTCAGTGGCTTGTTATCGGGCTGGTGTTGTGGTTCAAACAGTGTTTGCTCAGTATATACGAAGTCTGAGTTTAGTCTCAAGTGCTGCATGTAATAAATGAAGGAAACACAAATGAGAAAGTAATTATTTCATAATTTCCTAAAGTTTATCTGTCTTTTATGTTAATAGAAAAGCTATATTTGCTTAAGACTAAAAAGAATTTAATTATGGACACCTTTGCAAAATAGTATTGATTGCCAAAGTGTTTGTCATGGGGTCAAGCTTCTTTTTAATACTTAACAATTAAGCTCCCATGTTTGTATATAAAATTAAAATTAAGTTTGAAAATTGGAGTGATGGATCAGTGGAGAGAATGCTAACCCTGAAAATCCTCATTTATTCCCTGGGCCCACACATGGAAGGAGAGAACTGGCTTCTACAAGCTATTCCCCAACTATGTCTCCCCTCCCCCAAATACACACAACACATTCTAAAAACAAGTTTATATATTAAAAACTAAATATAGTTAATAGATATATTGATTTACAAAATTTTCTAGATTTGCGAGTTTGAGTAGAATATATGTGAACCTAGAGGCTTATTGTTCAAAATAAAAACAAATCAGTGAGCTCATCCCTCCAGCTTTTTCAGCAAAACTTCTCCAAATGCATCCTGTAGCTTCAAATCTATACTGATGAAGAAACAAAGGAGAAAAAGGGGTTAAACCTACAAAGCATTGTTAAACGAATATAGTCAACTATAGAGAGGAACGGATTTGAGGAGTCCACATGCAGATGGTGTCATATAGTCAAACTAAAATGAGCAGGAACAAAAAGGGAAGGAAAAATTGATCAAGTTTTAAAGAATGTGTCATACAAGTTGGGAAAAGGAAATGGCCAAATGGGGGATTCAAAGAGAAACCAATGTTGGAAATAAACGCAGAGTGTTATAAAGAGATGGCACTGGTCAAAGGATGGTGTTGGTGAACACAGAAACATGAGCCCATGAAGGTGAGATCAGGGAAACCTGATGGCAGATGGTGGGTGCAGAGGGTTGCTTTGGCCTAAGTGAAACACAAAGGTGTTATTGGGACTCATGCTGAACTGGAGGGAGAAGTATCTCTGGAAGATGGTGATGTATAAGCCATTGCAAGAAAGAATGAACAGGACTGAATGATTTTAATCTGGCAACACAAAGAACTAGACATCTCCAGGCAGATCCACAGCAACAAGGAAAAAAAAAAAAACTGGTTGCTAGTCTGAGAACTAACAAAATGATTTTTTAATTCTTAGGCTTCTGTTGTGCTTGGGTTTACAAGTCCAAGATAGAAGCCTAGAAGAAAGATGGTATTAGAGACAGAAGTTGTAAGGATTGATTATAATGTAAAGTTCATAGGATTTGCATGGAAGCAGTAACTGTGAAAGGAAACAAACATACAAAAGTGAAGAGTCACACAGTCCAGGAAAGGTAATTTTCTAGCACACATATAGCCCTGAGTATGAACCCCAATGTGCAAAAGCCAACCAAGGAACAAGTGAATAAGCCAGTGAGGTTATGTAAGTCCTTGTATGCAGGAGTTCATCACGATCAGTTCAGAAAACAGTAATTTATTTATTTCTGGATAGTCACTTACTTAATTGCTGTATCAAGGACCTTCTTTGTGCTCAGTACAAGGAAATTCAGAAATGGAAGACTGAAAATCCTCAGTGATTTAATAATCTATTTAGTGCCACAGAAATGCTGTTTGTCATTAGCTAGTGCCTCTATTTGTAAATTAAGAAAAGTCTTTGCTTTTCTGTTATAATAACATAGACAATTTTTTCTTACAGAACTCATCTACAAGGAAGTAATGAACTCAGAAGAAAAGACTAAAAATGGCGTAGTAAAAGGACAGCCCTCTCCTTCAGGTACTCACTCTCTGTGAATAACTGAGATGACAGTACTTGTATATTTTCCCAACCTTTGAGGGGCATGGTCATGAATAAAATTGCTTACAGGGCCTGGGAACAAATATCCTATGACCATTTCCCTATGTTGCATCCATGTTTTTCTTTTGAAACCATGCATTCATTCTGGTAGTTTTGATTCTAATAAGCAAGCACAATGTTGTTTTTCTAAACAATACTTTTATTTTTGAGATTATATTAAGTACAATATTTCTCCCTTCCCTTTCCTCCCTCCAAGTCTCTTATTTATCCCTTCCCGCTTTTTTTCAAATTCAGTCTCTTATTTCACTAATTGTTGTACCATGCTTATATGTATATATGCATGCATGAATGTGTGGGTGTGTGTATTTGTGTGTGGTGTATACATATACATTCCCAAATACAAACAGCTCAGCCTATATAATGTAACTTTTATATACATGTTGGGCTCACCAACATGTATTGGCTATCCAATTGGTGTGCTCTTCCCTGAGGAAGACCATTCTTCTCACTCAGCATTTCTTAGTTGCCTAGGTTCTTTGTGTAGAGTTGATGTTAGTAGAGTTGGCATCTGTACTGGTCTGTCCTTGGGGTTTTGACAGGATACACCCTCTGCTGCAGCCATTAAGAGCATCATCTGTGTACATTCACTATATTTCTTTTTAAGGTCCCTGCCCACCTCCCATACTTCTCTCCTTCTCTCCCTCTGTCTGAAGCCCCTTCTCTCTTTCCTTTCTCTCTCCCTTTCCTCTCTCCTGCTGCTCCTATCCTCAGAGGTCAGTCTCCCCCTTTTTATGATCTCTTTCCCTAATTAAAAAAAAACCCTCTGCTAGAACCCTATCTCATGGCATATTTCTCTCACTCAACCTGCTTTTCTTAAATTACAGTAGTTGAGGCCTCCTGGGCTTTTGCCTATCTACTATGGCATGTATATTAGTATTGTCCTTCTTCAGTAACTCATGTTGGTGAGACCTCATGGCTGTCACTTCTAACATTGCCATGACACAGTTTCTCTTATAGACTGGAATTCCCTCTTTTGCAATGTTTTGCAATGTGGAAATTATTTTGTAGATGTGTATATTGAGACTAGGATCTACAAGTTTGCATTTTGACTGGTTGTGGTTTTTTTTTTTTTTTTTTTTTTTTTTTTTTTGTAATGGTCTATGTCTCTTGGGAAGAAAAGTTTCCTTGAGGGATGAGGACTACACTTACCTGTTAATATAAGGACAAATATTTTGAGTGTAGTTAGGGATTATGTTCAATTAGTAAGGAGGAAGTTGTAGGTTCTCTTCCAAGATCCATGACCTTACTAGCCCTGGAGAATTGGCTAGGATTTCAGTATGTTTGGGTATGATTTTCTTCTTGTTGGGTGTGGCTTAAGTCAAATTATAGAGCTGTGTGCACTTCTTCAATCTTAGTGTTACCATTGTCATGAAGATCGTTGTTATGGTTCATTAGCATCATAGCTGGGTAAGATTATTGGTGGCTTCCTCCTTTGGAAGCTCACATGGTACCATGAAAACTAGTCCTCAGATGGTGCATTCAGTTCTAGCTCAGGGGTCTCTGGGCACATGTGTGAACTACATGGTGTCTTCAGCAATAGGGAGCTGGCATCCATGTCTGGGGAAGCCAAGGGCAATAGCAGTAGTCTGGAATGTTAGGGGAGAGTCTCTTGAACAGCCCTGACCACCTGACCATCAATTAAAAAAAAAAGTCTTCTGGTATTGTGGTTTTGGCTTTTTTTTTTTTTTTTTTTTTTTTTTTTTTTTTGGTCTGCTGGTCTTAGGCTCTTAGAAGGAACATTGTCAGATGAAAAATTTCATTTAAATTATTGTATGTATATTACTTAGGTGTATTAAGGGGTTTTCAGTAAATAGTTACTATTATGATTCTTTATGTTTTCAGACTTCCTTACTGTTATTTTACTCTTTACCTCCTTATGCGTTTATTCCCTTCCCCTCTCCATAATTAGAGCTCTCCCTGTCCCCATTTCCCTATGAGATCACTTGTACAAATCATCTCTCTACTGCCCCCAACCCCTTCCCTTAGTGGTTCCTTCCTACCTTCCTACTTTCTTTAGTTGTTCCAGTTACTCCCATCTGAAGATTTGGAGCTAAGAGACTGATGAGAGCATGAGTCTGTTACCTCACTCAAGATCATCTTTTCAAGTTCCACAATTTACCTGCAAAGTTCGTTTTTCTTTATAGTTGAATAGCACCCCATACTATATATGTACCACATTTTTATGACCCATAATGTTCTTCCATAGAAGGACATTTAGGTTGTTCCTATTTCCTAGCTGTTGAAGCATAATGTTGTTATAAAACTGAATTTAAAATGCCAATGGAATAATATGACATGATCTGGTCAAGGGCAGATGATACTCAACAAAATGTAAATCCTCCTTGTTCTCTGGACCAACAGGCTAACCTACAGGTCAACAGTTCATCCCTCCAGCCAGAATTTCTTCTCACATTCATTTTCAGTGTTAAACTCTGTAAGCTGAGTATGACAGCAGTGTAATTATCTGCTAAAATGGCTCTGAATAAAGCCAATGTTCAAAATCTCTAGCTTGTTAGCTGCAGAGTCTAACATACTTTTGTACCTATATGAGTTTTCCTACCAATACTGCTGAGGACTACCTGAAATATCCCCTTACATGTGTTAATGTTGTACCCACTTTTTCTTGAGACTTATGTCCTAGGTATAAAGAGTTTGATAAAATATGATTGCTTATTTTCAACTGTGATTGCATTCAACCTCATGGTTTCAAGAGTGGAAGCTGGGAATGATGATTTTAGAGAGAACAAAATTGGATGTTTTACTTCTAAATTACACGTTTCCACGCCTAGCAAATTGTCCTAGTTTTCTCTAGGATGTAGGCTTCATTAATTATCATATTACTACTCCTCTTTGAGTAACTAATTTGCAACCACAGCCACCACGGCAGCCAGTCATTGTGACTGAAAACACCTTACAAGGGAGGGAAGAAGGGTTTGTATTACCCACAGTTTCACAGAAGCAAGTTTATGAGGTTGTGGTCACAGTGGTAGCATTGTTCACATCATGGCTGGTGAGGGAGCAGAGAAAGGGGGTGCTACTGCCCTCAGTATTTTTCATTTTATATTTTATTATGGAATGGCACCACACACACTCAGCTGGGTCTTTACCACTCAGTTCCTGCCCTGGAAATGTCCTCACATATATGCCCAGAGGTGTGTCTTTCCAGTCAAGTTCACAATGAAGGTTACCATTGCAGGTCTATCTTTTTAGACACATGCTCTGACTGCTGCTTCAGAAGGGCCTCACAGGCAGAATCTCAAAGGCTTCAGGTGTTCCCTTGTGAGGTAGAGGGGCTCATGTGCAGTTATAATCACCATAACATGTTTCCGCACAGTCATTAGAAGGGTAAAGTGGCAATAGGTAACAAAGGACAACCTCACATCTCAGGCTGGGCAGACACAGGCCCATTTTAGTCATTTTAGTCATCTTCACTTCAGATTATTTCCTTTCCACACCTCCTTGTCCAAAAGAGTTTCCATGTTTTCCAAAAATAAGATCTTTCTGCATTTCCTACTAGTTCTTGTATTGCAGACATACGACACTTTTCTTATTATCTGCTACTTATTGAGTCAACTGTACACATTCATCTTTGTGCATCATATAGGATCTAAATACTCTCTGTCTCAGTAATTACTCTCTCTCTCTCTCTCCCTCTATCTCTCTCTTCTTTCTTTCTATCTCCACACACATATACACTTCAAAGACAGAATTCAAGACAGGATTGCATGGTCAATATAGTATGCAATTAAGTATGTTCTTACACCACAATTATACATATTTATCTGCCCTGTTAATGTCCATGAACATGGGTGAGCCAAGTTACTAATGTATTCTCTTGCTAGGGCATTTTTGTCCATTTTTCAGATAAGGCTCTATTTTTTTGTTTGTGTGTTTGTTTTTGTTTTGTTTTAGTTTTTGGTTTTTTGAGACAGAGTTTCTCTGTGGCTTTGGAGGCTGTCTTGGAATTAGCTCTCATAGACCATGTTGGTCTTGAGTTCACAGAGATCTGCCTGCCTCTGCCTCCCAAGTGCTAGGATTAAAGGTGTGCCCCACCACTGCCCAGCTGGGCTGTCTTGTTTTTACGATGATAGTTTGGTTCATTCGTTTTGGAAAATGTACGTCCATAAAACCTTTTTGTAGGCCCGATTAGCATAGTATGTGAATAGTTATTTATAAAGAACGCCAGTTAAGTTAACCTGGTGAGAGAGCTAAGACCCTTTTTTAACCATTCCAACTACCTGTAGCAATGAAAATTTGCCAAATTTTACATGTTCTCTAAACTATAGTTAGCAAACTTACCCAATCTATAGCTCAAATAACAGTAGATTATCTTACATGGCACATTTATGTATGCTCTATTTGTATGTGTCATGTAGAAACTGGATGGCAGCTGGACCTGGCTCTGCCAACTTATGTACCGGGTACATCTCTTCTCTAATGAGAATTTATTGGTCTCAGATTGTCCACTTGAAACTAACAAGGGAAGATTTGCAACATGGAAGCTGCCAGAAACCATAAATCATACTGATTGATCCCTGGAGAGCAAACTATTCACTTTTTACCTGTGTGCCACTGCATGTGTGTACTTTATGTGTGCATGTGTATACCTGCACATACGGGAATATATGTATGTGTGTGTGTGCTGCAAACTAAGAAAGGCAATGACTAAAGTGCTTTGTAGAAGCCACCTCTGACAGTTTCATGGTAATTATCTTTCATCAGGAATGTTTGCATAACATTTTGTTTTGTAAAAAGCCAGGATGGATACTTTATCACATAGGTTCTCTCGCTATTTGTTTATCAAAAATCTAGGAATCTTACGTAAGGAATAAGTTAATGCACTTCTTGAGGAACAAAGTGGTTCTAATATCAAAACCTATCATATAGTAATGATTTTAAAATGTAGATAGGAAGGTAAA